TATGACAATCATATACAGTATCATACTTCAAGATTTTCATGGTGATACGTTTATGTAACACCAAGCGTGAATGATCGCTTCATTATCGTTTATCTTGAGGGCATTCAGCATTATGAATTACAACGCGAAACCTAGGGGACTTGGTGTTTGAACGATTGTAAAAAACTTCACCAGAAAATATTCGGAAAAATTAGATTTCAACTTTTATGAGAATACTGAAGGATAAGGGTAATGAATAGGACAGTTGAGTGGGTATTGAAATGGCGAGTCAGATCACAGAGTGTCCTGCCAGAATAACCTGAGTCCGCGAATTCAACTTGAGCGAACACGATAATACCTACGGTATTATACATTATGAGGCGCATATACACTTGATGAATTTAGGTTATTTTATTCCTGAAGATAAAGTGATCAAACAATATCATCATTGTCCATGGAACAGTACAGACTACGGTGACAGCGACGTGGTACCACGACTCCTTTGTGATGGACACTAAAAGAAGGAAACAGCTGAATAGAAACGCAACCGTTTCGCATGTTTTTCTTGACTGAAGAAGCTAATGCTAATCAATTTTCCTCCTATCAGGTGGAGAATAACTTGCGAGGACAGGTGCTCAATTTTCTCTACTACTACAACATCACAAACGCAGCATCGATGACTGATGAAGGAGTAGAGCCAACGGTAATGTACAAGCTTCTCCACGAAAATCCCACATTTAAAATTTTGGGCTAAGATCAACCGTCACAATTTACAATCGCACAAAAATTGAGCAATACTGTTACGCTGGAAAAAACTGAGGATCAATGGGATGCGAAGTCAGATGAAATGCACTTAGTTTCCGGTCACATGCGAGGCAAAATTTGGGAAATAAAATAAAAAAGACGAAGAGTATTAATGTTGTCGATACCTACGACAGCTGTTCGTGACTTAGAATGAGTCAGCGTTCCGCAGCTTTTCTCCAAAACAATCTGAACTCTTGCTTTTGCTCACTTGAAATTAATCCATTTCAGTTCGCATTGGTGGGACCTTACGTTTACGAAGAGGTGGAGAGGAAAACAGCTGTGGAATTCGACGAAAACCGAGAAACGATCAGTTTTCGACGGGAGCGACGGCTGCGGTTCGACAGAACAACGACCAAGATGCTTTGCGACTATTGCTCTGAAAACGATACGGTGAATAACTTTCTACTGTATTACAGTTTTTCTCTTTCTTGAAACTTCATATCGGCTTTCGAAAGGTCATTCAACTTGAAACGCTCAACTTCTATTCACGGGATTCGACGGGAATAACCAACGAAACAAGGACTCATACTTTCGAGTACCACTAATCTATATCCAGAAAAAGAATTTGTCTTCTGTAAAATAACGTGGCCTGTTCACCTGTTCTTATATCCATTCGTGGATTTTTAATCTTTCAGAAGATAAATCTCTCCTTCAATTTTACAGGATGAATCACTCAAAAGTAGACCGCCTTTGGTTATCTAGGCATGTCTAGTTAGTTGCCTCGTCTACGGCATATTAGGCACACTTTCTTCCAGCTTCATAAAGGACTCATTAGCATTCAATTAAGTGACCTGATGGAATGAATGGAATAGCCTGGGGGAAGAAATGTATTAGAAGTAAAAAGCTTCAAATTTTATTTCTCAAATATATATAAACCGGGACAGAGAATTTCATTATTCTACCGCGAGCACCAGAGCCACGTTTTTCTCCGTTATCCTTTGGAGGTTGCATGGAAACGTGTTTACTGTTTAGGACTCTCGTTCACATAAACTTCGTAAACAAATTCTTTCAAAGATATTTTTTCCTTATCAGTTAGAACAATTGACGAGTTCTGGTTGATAAGCTATTGGAAGGCGCAGGTTATCAAGATTTTCACAAAACGTTTCTAAAAACCTCAAATGCTTTTTCTTCTTCTTTCTCATTCACGCGCTGATCGTACCCTCATGCAAAAGCATTATCATAAAGTTGGATAAAAAAAATCGAGATTACCTAAGCAACAGAGAAGTCGGTATATTTTTCTTTTGCCCTTCGTATACAGGGAGCTCCAGGGTAAAAATCATTTAACTATACATGATCACCATCATCAGGAGCTATAATATCACGCATATAAGAGCCACAGTGAAGCTAAAATCGTCAGTAATGAAGAACGCAATCCCACGTTTCTTCACTTCACAAATTTACAGTTCAAAGCATGCATGCAAAATTATGAATCTTTACTAACAGACTTTAGTTGAATATGTCTGCTGTCAGATATCACAGGTTAACCCAACGTGGCTGCAATTCCTGGATATCAAAGAGGCCGATGAGTGGAGCAGATTATCACGGCTTCCTCCTGCCTCCGATCAATTCCGTTTGCGCCGCAACAATCCTCTTCCTAAACCAAAATCATGCAACGTTTCTTCTCTCGAGTCGCACCCCCAAATTCGTGACTTCTTCGCCCAAATCCCAAAGGACATCCACAGGTATATTCACAGCCCGAATGGCAATGATAATAAGTGCCGGATTTAAATCTTGATCTGATAATTCATGCTTCAGGTTCGCGACACGAACGCAACGCGATTTCGCCTTGGGCTACACAGACAAAGCGATGTCGCTCATCGACACAAACGCGACGCGCATTCGAGGGTACTTGTCAAGCGACGAAACCGTCATGAACGTGTCAACATGCCTGGACGGACTCACGCATCACAACAACCTGCGAGTGTCTGCAATCCGGAACCACTTTCGACACGATCTGTGGATGGAGAGCGACGGATTGTCGGTGTCGGCACCGCCTGTCGGTGAATTACGTGCTTGCGCTTCACCAGACCCGTACATCACTGAAAAGGCTGCGTTCTTCCTGCCCGAGTTTTGGGGCGCAATGGGGATGCAAATGAGCATGGATACGGAGAATGTTGTCCCTACGACTTCTGCCCCAGGAATTCCTTATTTGGCCAAGGATAACGCTGGAGCTCGGGTGCTTTACTCTGGCAGTCGGCCAAGCGTGAGAGCAACGCCAATCAAGGAGTATTTCCATGGAGAGGCATTGCCCACTTTGAACGAAAACGCAGAAAACTGGGTAATTTCTGATTTCTGATACGAAACGCAATTGTTGTATGCATACTGAAATCCCTTTGAAAAAAAAAGCTTACAATAGCTTCCAATTGATCAACAATGAAGTAAGTGTCGAACTCGAAAAATAATCTTTATAACTCATCCCAACGAACTCATTTCAAAATAGAGTAGTGTACTACTCAACTGTACCAACAGTTTCGAACCATGTATCGCACAAATAATAATGAGAAAAAAAACATCCAAAGCATTGAGCAAGGAAAAAATATCTTTCGAAATATGTAAAGCTTGAATTCCGCGCAACGCGAGAAGGTGGGGCGAAAAAATAAAGCAGATCGTGAACTTCGTTTATCCGGATCGTTAATGAAAATCAAAAGAAAATGGTCGGTGAAACGTAATCCATAAACTGGAGTACTCGGAAAAATCAATAAAATATCGAATTAATTTGAAATCTCCCAGGCCTTTGCATTTCCAAAACAATGGATTAATTCTGAAGTACATTAAAGTATTTCAAATCAAGTTGAAGCGCAAACAATTATAATCACTCAAAGACAGTTTACTACCCTTTTTATTTATTAGCTTCTGTTGGAGCCAGTTACAGGACTCATCATGGAAAGGCATACCAGCCTCATATTCACGACGAATTATGCCTCAAAGAATTCCAGTAAAGGTGAAATGCCCTTGTACCTGCTGCAGAAGTCAGAGCTGCCGTCCTCTGATGTTGAAGGGATCATCTACAAGGAAGTAAGTCTTTCACTATTGTAGTGTATTTTAAATTTTGTCGATCAGAAAATTGTGGCACTCATTTTTTTACGACGACGTGACGTTACCGATTGTGCATGTGCTTCGCTCATTTTCCAGATAATTCCAAACCATTAAGAATATTTTGAAATGATTGAATTAGGGGTTTATTCAAGACAAAGATGAGCCTATCGTACGCCAGTTGGGACTCAATTCCTTAAAGAATACTGTACGTTATCAAGTACAGTATTCTGCGAAGAGTTCGCGAATATCCAATTGACAATGATCTCTCTCGTAGCATCTTCCAGGAAATTTCAAAGTTTTACGCCATGTTGAACTGACCTTAAAAAATTATCGGACTACCCAGCTAAAACGGGGACATTACGAAGCTAAAAAACTTTATATTTTGCAGGTTCAAGTGCCGTTGCGCGTGTCTTGCATCGGAGTAATTATCTTTGGCGTGGCTGGAGGTGTGATTGTAGTTCTCGGGATCATCATGGCCTTGTTGTACAAGCAGAACAGAATTGCGCCTTTCTTCAATCCCCAGTCGCACATGGGCTCAGCAACGGCGTCTGTTGGATCTCGTGAAAATACCCCTGGAAGCGCTCAACAGTCCGCAACCCCGCGAAGTCAGATGCGAAGTCGACCTTCTACGGGTTTTCAAACTCGGACGCTTCAACTATCGACAACCATGCGATGAGCATCAAACATGAGAATTCCTACTTGCAAGCAACCAATAGTATTTCACAAATAGTGACATCTTTGTGTCTGTGATGCAGCCAAACTGTGATTTTGTAAGAATTACCATGGTTGAAACTTCCAAAATTACAGACCTCTGGGTATTCCTATGATTTTCATTGTGATATATTTGGCTGCTTTTTCAGCTTAAGAATTGCATTCCGCGTTTTGCCCAACTTTTTCATCACATTTTGTTAGTCCAGCAAGGATATTCACTCTGCATAATTCTTCACTCATTTTACAACCTCGTGCTTTCAGCTTTTTCTCACTCTGCAAAATCAATGAATCCGATGATTTCTCTTGAAGCCAAACCTGACAATAAATGAAGCTCCAAATGTTGAAAACTTTCCTGATGCATTCTAAACCTGGTTTCATCTGAAATACCAACACATGAGAATGTAAGAAATAGTATTCGAATTAAGACATAGATCACCTTTTCTCGTAATTTACAAAAAGTAGGACAAGAGTCTTGAAAATAACTCCAAGTTGCACTTCGTTTTCAGTAAAAAGTCCTTCCCGACAAAAATAACTTCCCGGCACTCGTGAAAATTGGCACAATTTCATGTGATGTACAGCGAAATTCCAGATAATTGCACTGCGGTCCCTTACAGTAATTTGAGCACATGGAACCATACAAAATTGCATCACAAAAGTGAATACGGGTGACACGCCAACGGTGGACAGACACTAGAACTGGAAGCTCGACATTCCGGAATAATGCCAACATACACGCGTAAAATACCCTCTGGACTTACCTGTAGTTAATCCAATAATGAACATTTGCTCACAACATTTTCCGTCAAAAAAATCAGAACTCACATAAAAAAAATTTAACATTTCTGCCTCAGAACAGGAAGGAAAAACAACTCGAGAAGTTCGCTGCTACACAGGGATAAGATGTCTGAGTAGGATGACACATCGAAAGAAAAAACTGCGTGCTTTTCCGTAAAAAATAAATACTGTACACGAACACCCCGTTAGCTTTAAATTTCGTTGAGAATAATTACTCACTTTCCACGATGAATTTGCAATTGTGCACAAGAGGCTTCTGAAATATTTCAGCCACTTCAAAACAACTACCCACAATGATCGGAGACGTCCAGGGAACGTTGCGAACCGAAGAGAAAATATCCAACCCCAGCGCCAATCGTGACGGCCAAACAAAGCCATACGTTGTACGTCATGAATATCAGCATCAACCAGTAACTGATAACAAACTGAACCATGTGCAGGATTGACTGGACAAGGTGCATTGGAGTCATGACTTGCTTGAGCCTATGGGAGACAATATAATTCATTTACCATCAGCTTCATGGCGAAGATCTAATTTCAACTCGTGGGCGAAAGCATGCATCCAAAGTTCATGATAATCATGAACAGATGTATATGAGAATTACGGAGTCGGAAAATTTTGAAAAAAAAAACGAAGCAGGGATTCATTTTGGCTCCCTTTCATTTCAGGTGAATCCAACTTAGGGTGCCACATCGCAACAAGATAAGTTACGGGAGTCGTCGCGGAATCCTCGACAGTTAAGAGTGGCCAAGGGAGATCCAGAAATAAGCAGCCTAACCTAAAGCGGCACTGAAGCATTGTTGGTCAACCCAGGCTAAATTCACATAACCCAGAACTCGAGGTATACTCGGAATTACTCTGGTGCCGCAAGAAGGTGCCGAATCCAAGTAACTATCTGAAGTGGCAAAAATGAGTAACTAGCATACCCTCAAAATACCTGACCGAACCGTGCATAATTACGAGATTCTAACCATTGCAAATAGCGGATGACGAAGAGAAGAAACCCTTTTTAACCTTCGCACCCCCAGTAACCAAAATTCTTCAATGAGCTTCAAACCCATTAACTCTAATGCAGATAAATGTAACCAGCATTAGCTAGTCCAACATTTATCTATTTTTTGGCTCGATAGATTCAACGCAGTATACCGTCATGTCAGAAAATATGTTCATAACAAAAAGGAAAACCAACAGAAACCTTAGGGGCCTAGGCTAATGCATGAGATCGACGCAGAAGTGATGAGACGATAAAAATGTATAAGGGGAGTTGAGAGTCGCCTCTTGCTCAACGCGTTCTGCGAATCGCGTTTTCCGAAGTGCTGTTTCATAAGAAACATTGGATAGGTCCCTGAAGGTAAAATACGTTCAATCTTCATTGCAAAAACTGAAACGATCTACCCTGAATCTAACACGAGTTTATTTTATTCAATTGCATTCAAGCCATAAAATGCCAATAGAAGAGAACGGTACCATGAAAATGCAGAAAAGAGAACCAAAACGCCCAGTGTGCAACATTATGCTTTGGGTGCTCCGACTTCAACTGCGCGGTGATTCCGATTGCCTACAAGTGAACATGTCTTTGAAATTCACGTACCATAAACCTTTGGATTCCTTCAAACGAGTTTCCGGATGCTGACCCAGGCCAGCATCACCTCGTATAACGAGAAGCTGATGGGATATGGATTTCTTGAAAATAAGATCCCTAAAATCAGAACAATTAAGCATCGAGCCAGGTTTTTGCAATAAAAGGTATTACTTTCCACTCACCTTATAAACTTCAATCCTTCATACGAAACTGCCAGAAAAAAAATTATCACCATCGACCAAATAAGACCACCCAATGAACTAATCCGCCAGTTATCGAATAATATGACTTCGGTAAACCCTCCATGGAAGTACATCTTCATCTGAGGATAAAGTAAAAGCGGGACCACTTCTTTATTTTCAGATTGGATCATGATCATCAGTGCTCTCACCATATGCCCCATGCCTCCCATCGCCCGGATTTCTTCATGATTCATATTCGGCGTCTAACGTCAGGAGAAATGAAACATGAACAAAAAATCGGACACAGATAAATGCCCTCGGATCACAGCAATTCGTCCACACACAGAAGAAGGATCGTAAGAAGTTAAACTAGGACATGCATCCGAAACCTATGATCAGCTATGAACAAATGGACACGATCACTTCCAGCTTTGCACCACACGCCTAAAAATACGGCGGAGTTTGAATACGTTCCGTCCCACAACGAGAATATTGTCCTACTCTGAACACGGATTTAAATATGGGCTCATGGGAATTCGCTTTCAAGGCAAATCAGTTTCTTTCAAACCTCCAGATAAAGAAAAATTCCTGTTCTCCCACAACTACGCGACCGATAAGATAATAGCTGCATACAATACAATACAGTACAGTAGTTCATCAGAATACTTTCGACCCATCACTCTAATCTCAAGAACTAAACGGTGACCACGCGAGTCTTGCCCGTGATTTACTGTATTCACAGCTCCCAAGTATCGCATGTCACAGTTAAATCTCTCGCACGCATTCCACAAATCGGACAGATTACCCGATGCTCTAAATCCATGTGGTCATACAGCAACTCCTTGGTATTAAAATATTTGGTATATACTGTACTATGTATTTGGTATTAAAATATTTGCCCTTAGGGCACGCACATACGAGAACGGCGGCATCTGTCGAGCCGCATGGTATGCACATTGTTTGTCCAAGTATCCCCACCAGGTTTAGCTGTGAGAAAGCGAGAGTGAAGCATCTGGACGCAGAAAGGATGGAGACGGGATCACGGACTTCCACTTCACTCTTGACCTTTCAATAATTGTCTTGAGTCTCTCTATGCTGTCTCAGTGTTACTGAACGTCGGCGTCATAAACTGGACTATTTATTGTGTGATAGCTGTGTCGAGGTCATTTCTGCCTTCGCAAAACCTTATTGAATGATACCCTTGTATTGTGGAAGAAGCATTTGCGGTTGAAGTTCCGTTGGAATAACTGCGGACGCAGTTCCTCTTCTCGATGATTTTGTATGCTCTTGCGGAGCAAGTAGTGAAGGAGACAACATTTCCTCCGGCGAGGAGACGTGCTGCATGTCAGCATCCATGTGCTTTCCAGCAATTGAGAGTCGCTGAAGTCAATGATTTCCATTCCAAGATCATTCATTTGTGTCTCATGCGAGTAGTGGACTTATGCCCTCATGACTTTTGCACCTTTTTCAAGGAAAAGGAGTTGTGCTGCATCGATCAGTGCGTTCAAATGTCGTCTTATGCATGTTGAGTTTGTCGCTTCGGGAAAGTTCCTCCGGTTCAAGATCGACCATGAATACCGAATCAACAATGCCGGAGGACACAACGTGTGATGAATGTGGGAAATATTTTAATACCAAGGAGTTGCTGTATGACCACATGGATTTAGAGCATCGGGTAATCTGTCCGATTTGTGGAACGCGTGCGAGAGATTTAACTGTGGCATGCGACAATTGTGAAATGTGAGTAAATCACGGGCGAGACTCGCGTGGGTTTTTGACGATGCATTAGCTAGCTTTGACGATGCTTGATTTTTCCAGATTGCATCACATGGAATGCGTTGGCATTCACCCTATGGAAGCACCTGCAGAGAGTGACGAATGGTTTTGTCCAAAATGCCGTCCATCGAACGGTTAGTCAACTCATCGGAGCTATCCTAGTTGGGGGGGACCCAGACTACTAGCTCCGACTCTTCGGATGCTTGTTTAAACGCTTGGAATACTGTACTTGAAAAATGTTCTAGTGGGACGACCGGAAGTGAAACCGCCTGGGGGTAAAAGTCCTGTAAAACGCAAGGGCAAAGGATCGTCGCAAGCCAGCTCGCCCGGAGTTGCACACAGAAAATCAATTGCTAATCGAAGTTCTTCAAAGAAGCTTATCGAGACAAAACCGTTAGCAAATGACGTTGCATTTTTTCCTCTTAAATTTAGTAACATGCACATGATTGATTTGAAGGGGGAAAACTGCTTTTCGGAATATTCGGGAAGCCAAGAAGAATCTTGGAGAAGTTTTCGCAGGATCTTATCAGTGCTTACTCTGTCCTGAAAATTCTACTGGATCGTTGCAAACCTTGAAAGCTTCCGAAGAGCACCTTGAAAAACTACATTGGGACCTTTGATTTGAGGTATTTTCCCAGTGCTTACCATTCTACAAATCCATTTCAACCTCGTGTCCTCCCAGTTTTTAGAGCCCGGATGCAGCTGCATAATAAATCTTCCATGCTACTTGAAGTGTTTCACTTGGCTTAGGACGCTGAAGTACACTATCATTCTCGTGCGTGCGATATTGCAAACACCAATGCTGAATCGCATGTTATTCATATGTTGCAAAAACATGAATATTTGCTTGTTCATGCTCAGGATTTTGATAAACTCCTGGCGGCATGTGAAAATGCCACTGAGGATATGCTGAACGCTCAGGCAACCGCAGAGGTATTTAGATTCGTCTTTCGAATTCTAAATAAGCGACGGGCTTATGATTTTTAAATTTTTTTATACCGACTATGTTCAATTTGAGGATTGTATTTTTTATGTTCAGGAAAGCAGAGACACACTTTCAGAGGAACACTTCAACAGTTTGATTGAGATGGACGTCGAAAAGAAATATCACTGTAAACTGTGTCCTCCATCCTCAGTGCTTCCAACAAGGAAAGCTGCAGAAATGCATCTAACGAATCTCCATATGTCTAGTCAGCTGTTCATTGCCTCACGTTGGGTTTGCCTGCCGTGTTTTATGGATTGTGGCCCTCCGTTGCATTATCGTTGCCCTCTGTGTGAGAAAACTGGCAAAAGCAAAGAAGAACTTCTGATGCATGCTGAAATACACCAAGAGTATTGTGACGCTGCTAGAGAGCTGAAAGTCGCTTCACCATCAAAACTGAAAAGTCCAAAGAAGTCTCCCGTCACAAAGAATGTTGATAAAAAGAAAAAATACCCTGTGATGGCCGGGTTGAATGTGCAGTTCTATGCGTCGAAAACATCCATCATTGTTGATCGCTTGGCCGAGGCGGATCCATCTGCATTGGAAAACTTCTTCAATGGCATAGTCAAGTTCTCTGGAGGAAAATCCGTTTGCAAATTGTGTCCTGTGCCGGATGATCTTAATGTTGCTGGTTCTTTGCCTTTCCTCAAGAGCGAAACTGCGCTAGAACACTTTCTTAAGGCTCACTTCAGGTAATTCTTCATTTTTTACTGCTGCATCTTCTCTATTTATAAACGATTTATAATTTTTTGGTGGTTGAACTGATCTCAGATGAAAATGAAATTTTAATCTCAGTTCTTTCAAACTACGTTTCAAGAGTTTGCCATCGAAATTAATTTTTCAATATGACTGAAATGTGCTTGTCAGACCTTGTTTTCTCCAAAAGTAGTCGTTATTTGTGACAATAAGTGAGTAATGTTTTCCTTACAGATTCCGCATTGCTATGGGAGACACTGGAAATTGTTTGCGGTGTCTGAGGCTGTGTAAAAGAGTTACTGATGACCAGGGTTCAGGTCATTATCACTGTCCCTTATGTCAGAAATTATTACCTAGCCATGACACGTTCGTTTCCCACGCCGCTGAGCACATGCGAACAAAAATGAGCATGGAGAAGCCTAATGAAACCTTCCCTTTGACGTGGAATGTTTCTCCAATGGATTCGATGATGGAAAAGGCGCCTGTAGCTAAGCAACCCGTGCATAAATCCGTAGAAAGTCGCCTGACCATGGCTGCTCCTACTGGTGGGATAGCTTATATGTAACTTATTGTACGATTTTCTTACTAAAATATTTTCAAGTTGACAACTTCTGAGAATCGGCTCTACAGCGATAATTCTGCTCACAAAACATTGATTCCTGTATCTGGCAGATCTGTCAAGATACATATCTTCTGTAACGAAAGCCCCTCATAACGAACGATATTTTTTATTCCAAATGTTCCGGTAATTTTGGAGAATTCACCTTGATCCCTTCTGGCACTAACTTTATGAATTCTGCGTTGGGATTTTTTTTCATGCTTGTAGGAACCCTTGAGGTTGTGGTTGAATTGTTCTTTTTTTTCTTCGTCGTACTGTATATATATTTCTCTTTCAGCAAAAGCAGGCACAAGTGGTTTCCGATCCTCCAGAATAAGCAGACTTCCCGTGGTTGCGAATTCGATGGTTGAACCAATGATCACAAAGCGCAGACGAGTAACCAAGCCTAAAGTGATGGATGATTCCATGTACTCAAATGCTGTTCGACGAATGCATTCACCGGCTCGGTCAGAACAGTCCCAGCCTTGTGAAAAACTGCCCTCCGCGTCTTTGAAAAGCACAACTGCCGTTATTCAGAGTCGCGGAAATGAACTTTCGAGAGCTATGAAAACTTGGGTAANCTGAGCACCTTGGTAACCATCAGCGACAGCATGGGGAACAAATTGGTTCATCCGCTCAAAGATGTCTTGCTAAAATGCAAGTTGTGCGGATTTCCACCTGCCGACAAAGACTCTGTTTTGCAGCATCTGAGCTCATCCCATTTGGGTGATTGCATCCGTTTAGACGAGCAGCATTTCCTCCCATGCAATCTTTTCTGCGTTCCCGGATTGTTCGTTACTCCAGCGCATTTCCATTGTCCCTTGTGCCCACGGCTCATTACTTGTGGTGACCATGAAGCAACGCGTATTGCGTCCAATTGTTTCCTGAAGCATCTTAACGACGTGCATGGCACTTGTGGGTCACGAGTGGCAGCGAATCAAAACAAATTTCAGATAAAAAATGACTTGAATGTCGGGCCGGAGAAATTTCTGTGCGTTGCGGTTTCAACACAAAATGGGACGGATATCGGTTTCGAAGAACTAAGTGTTGTACTTCTACCGCATGGCGCCTTTGACGACACTCGAGCATTGCACGAATTTATCAATTTACCCATGGATTTTGCTAACGAATTCGAGGCGAGTGCGAAAGATGCCTTCTTGCTTGGTGCTGTGTGTCGATTCCTAGACAGCCACAACCAATGCGTGTTGTGCGGCAGACATAATGTGAAAAGGGCCGATTTCGTTGACCACTGGAAGGAAGTTCATCTTAACAATGCCGTGGATGTCAAAGTATCCGGGAAAACGTGGCTTTGTCCTTGTTGTCTTTGCGGAACAGCGGATATTCCGCACTTCGTCTGTCCGATTTGCTCGGCAGTCGTTGAGACAAGAGAAATTTTCGCTTGTCACATGGAAAAGCACGAGAAAGCGCAAGATAACGCTGGTCTGACCAATGGCGAAGACCAAACTTCGAGTGACTACGACAAGGCGGCCGTAGAACACGAAAGTTCAAAACAGTATGCCAATATTTTAGCTTCTTGCAGGGGTTTGAAAGTAGTGGACACATCTGCTTTGGAAGAATGTTCGAGTGTGAGCTGTCCCTTGAATAATGAGCATTTTCATTGCCCACTCTGCAAGTGTGAGGACGCGTATTTGGCTGATTTTGGCGGAATAGGAGTGCATATTTATGCCTGTCCGGGTGCGTCGCTGGCTTATGAGTCGAACTGTCGCAAGCTACTACAAACTGTCGACGATGAAATCCGCTGTCAGTTGTGCAGTGAGAGGGATATGACTTGTTGGAGTTTGAATGAGGAACATGTGGCGTTGACACACGTTTCAGAGATGCATCTTAAGAAAGGTGAGCAAACTACGGTTTTTGCGCAAAATAACTTCATATCCTGCCGACATACCGGGAAATATTTGCTGGGTTTCACAGTTCATTCTTGTACCAAATGTACTGACGTATTCACGGAAATATATTGCGACGGGATCTGGTTCCCACGCGGTGTCGGGGGAAAAATATGCAATAATTACGATTATAAATTTTCATTTGATTCACTGTATGGTCTCAGAAATTTCAAACTTGTAGTAGTGAGGTATCACTACAGAAGATAGTGGTCTAGAGTATTTTCTAAGCAGTTGTTATCTGGCCTTTTTAGGAAATCATGGAAATCCATGACTGCAAAACGATGCATTGACAGAATAGGAGGCGGAAAAGTCGCCAAGAATGATAACTTTTCTCTGCTTTTTGAAGTGTAGTCCAAATCTGAGGAAAAGGTTGTTGTTTCCTTAATCTAATAATTTTGTTTCATGCGATTAAAGATCCTGAAGTGTTCAGAAATCCCTGTTTTCCATCTAAACTATACAACGCTTGTATTGTGCAAGTTACCGTATTTCTCTATACAAGTGCTACGGAAACTGAATAATGAAACTAGAAGTGGAATTTTCGTAATTTTTGCATTCGTATTCATAATTTTGTTCTATTATAGGAGTCACTTTCTCTAACGAGGTGTTCCCGCTGTGCAAGCTGCTCTGCCGATCTGGAGCAGACCACTACCATTGTCATAAATGTGGTTACATCTGCATTCGAAGCATGGAAATACTTGATCATGTCGCGGACTGCCTTCGTAGCCTAAAACGGCCGTTGGATAGCGAAACTAGCGGAGACGAGCAAGAATCAAAGAAGACCAAATTCGGTGACCTGGATGAAACTTCCAAAATAATACCCGATGTCAAATGCGATCCTGCGGACAAAACCCTCACGGACATGGTCAAGTCCGAATCAAAGGATAGTGAAGTGGGGGAAATCGAGGATACGAAATTCGAAATTCCGGAAGATTTGAAGACCGATGAGGTGTCTCTGAAGCCAGAAGCAATTGACGAGGATGAGGAAAAGACTGAAGAACCCATGGAATTAGATGACGGCCCGAGATCCGAACCGATGTCCGTAGAAGTAGAGCGTGAGTGCATGGATGTTTCCGAGAAGGACGACAAAGAATCCGACAAAGTCATGGATAGTCCAGATCCGCAGGAAGAAGCAATGGGATCGCCGGAAACTTCCGAAACGATTCCTACAGTCATCACTCCCGAGGATCAGTGCGTTGCTGAAGGTTTGTCGCATTTGCAGCGTTGGCACAAACAAATAATTTCCGGTTCTCCACATCATCATATTAACCTTAATCGTCTTCATTATTGGGGTCAGAAAAGAATCGCTCAACGTTTGTGAACGAAAATTGTCCGTTTTATTCTCTTTCGTGTAATTTCAACGAGAAAAAAATTAATTTTTTGGGAAATTCCACGTTTTTCAAGTGTCTGGCAAAAAATAACCTGCTTCTCGAGGAATTCTGTCAATGCCGTTTGCTGTCGTACGATTTTTTTGCTGTACCGTTTACTGTACTCTAATTCTGTTTGATGAGTTCATGCGGAATTCCTATCGCTCAGCCGCGTTTCTTCGATCTCCTGTTCAATTTTTTCGTCGGGCTGTTGTCCTAGTATTTTCGTGACTGATCAAAATCTCCTCTTCCCGAAAACAACAATTTTTGTTCGTATTCCATTCCAGAGCGAGAAGCGAAGGATAGCAATGAGAGCAATGACGTGACAGTGACGGAGGTAACGACGAATGACGTCTCCGCGACACCCAGCAGGAGTATTTTTGATGAACCCGAAGAAGAAACGGAGCCGGTGATCGCCACACCGCAGAAACCATTCGTGGCAAATGCGGCAAACGTGTCCTCTGGCGAAGAGACTTTCTACACGCCGGCATCTATTCGAAGTGCCCCGCAGGTCGAATTTTTCACGGCCAAAACGGAGCTTTCTGCCACGAGCACTGAGCAGTTGTCCCCCGTTAAGCTCAATTTCGATGGGGACAACAGCGATAAAACAGAGTGACTTCAATGAGAAGAAAAAACGTTAGTGAACTGCATTCCAGGGCAACTGTTCTTTTTTTTTCCTGACGTCCCGCTGCTAAAAGGTCGAAGCGACGCATTGATAAAAAAAAAAAAAAACTTGAACGTTTAAGGTGTATCACTGCGAACGTGTTTTGGGCATACTTCGCTTACCGGAGCTTAGATTTTCTATGATCACATCCCGTATTCAATTCGAATAGCTTTATCCCCGAAGGTGAGGAACCTATCGAACTCCGTTGTCTCTGCAATAAGACAGTCATGCATTTCTTGCTGATACAATGGCTCACGTTGACTCGAAAATTGTATTGTATCCTTCGATTAAGGTTTGTGTTGTATGTAGGTTTGTATGACTGACAATCTTCGAAAATAGTAGAATTTTGCTGCAGAACATGAAAAATTGAATATTGTTGTTTGTCATATGGTTAAGACTCTTCGCTGTAAATATTTACGAGGAATTCATTTCGCTGAAAAGTATTAAGATTGAATGGGAGCCTTTCGTACTACTAGTGTTGATCGAAGCGCTTCTTTTTTACATTCTGCGATTTATTTTGATTTTTAAGAAAATTTGAGTTTCATTTGTGATGTTTATAAAAGAAGAATATTCGTGTGAGTATTCTAGTGTTGATTATCCTGGGAAAAGCCGGCCTTCGATGATTTCTCGTGGTTGTTCGGTCCGAACGCATGTTTTTGTATTTTGGGTGATCCTGGAAAAAATAATTGAATCCTGTTGATCCGCCTTTCTTAGGGGCTAGCGCGATCCGAATGTTGTCCTGTTTGATTTTGTGATGAACGCTGTTCTGTTTTATTCACTGTCAATCTACTGTAGACCATTTTATGGGCTTGGTTAGCATGTGGTCCAGTGGTGGTTATTTTCGAAGGAAAAAGTGTAATACAATGCTTGACGACGAGCAACGTCTAGTTGTTTGCTTACATCAGCATTTTGCTGTTGGATGGAAACAAAAGGCTTTCTCCGTAAGTCTGATTAGTTGTCGCTCCGAAGTTTTTTTTCTTTTTTTTTTGTGTGTGTAGGTGATCTGAGGCGTGCGAAAACGCGTTCGACAGCTTTGTACTGTATCGTATTCCCCCAGAAGAATTGTGTACAGACGATCAGTCGATTCGTATACGAGCAAGTTTTCTGCGTGAAGATCAGTTTCCTGCTGTGTAATAGAAATGAAAACTTCGGTATCGCCGGAAATTCTGTACTTTTGCCTATTTTCGATCACGAATATTATTGTATTGAGTAGTCAAGTAGCGACGAAACAGTTGGCTCATAGTTCAAGGCCTTTCTTGCTGCACCACCGACAAGACATTCGACTACTAATACTTAACTCATCTTTAGTAAGCTCAAGCTCGTCTGCAGAAAAAAAAGAGCTAGGTTGTAATATGGTCGTTTTTAGGGAGGCGTTTGCGTATTTTCGCGTGTTCAGTTATAAACCAAGCGACGTTCTTGTGGCCACGTTCATGTGGCCAGCACGCATCCGGAGATTCGCGAAGCATTACCGTGCAAAATCGCGACAATGCTCAGTTCAGAATTGTGGCACGAGAAAGCTAATGTTGCTCCATTTTTTCTTGGCAATTTTTCACCTGTTTTGATACTGAAAATCCTAGTTGATCACGCAATTGCTTCTCCGCTGTTCAACACGAAATTCTGATCGTGGCTGCTGTTCAGTTGGCAATTCCAAAATTTTGCACATACATTTTGTTTTTATAACTTTTGTTTTTAATTTGAGTCCATTTCGAATTTAGAGGATGTTTTTTAAATTGAAAGACAAATATTTTCTGTGGAAATTCGACCAGATCGACACGTCGAATCACTCTCGGTCTACCGAGAGTGATTCGACGAAATTTGCAGTCAGAAAACGTTTTTGTTATTGCCGTATTTAAAAAATAAACCAAACTCCTGTTTTCTCGATTGACATCACTGAATACTTTATTCAACCATCAGGAGCGTGATGGACGAATTATTCATCTCCCCTTGCACGCTTCTCAACAACGTTCAGAAAATACTGCACTGAACGGGATGAAATTTGTGTGACAAGAGAATTACTCGACGAGCGACGGACTCTTTTGAAATGTACTTTAGTAATTATTTGTTTCCACCGAATGCTTGGTAACATAGTTCATTTTTCTCGACGAATGACACTGATTCTGAAGAATAATCGAGGTTCGATGACGTATACCTTTTCTTTGATCGGTGCGCAGAATTCGCGGTCAAAGATGGCGAACTCAAATGACTTTCTTTTACAGAGGATTTAATGGACTGGTGAGGTAACTTTGCCAAGGAATGATTTTTTTAACCCGCAGATCGACTGCATAAAAAAAGCACCTATTGAATCCTTCCCTGAAAGCTCTGGTAGCAATTCCGAAACAAAACGACCTGTATTACAAAATGAGGGACTCTCTTAACTCTTTCTCAAAACCGGTTGTCTGGTACCATTTACCAGTGACTTGTTCATTCACCGTATGATCTCGTCCAATATGCCACATTCTCTTTTGATCGACCGTCGACACGGAAAAAAATTTTATGTACGATTCCCTCAAAATGGCTTTTTGTTTTTCTCTCGGGCTTGAACCGAAATCACCATATCGTGTCAACAAAACATTCTTTGACAACATTTTACACATAGATCCATGTAATGCAAACGCATCATTAGCAGCGAAAAAATACTGTACGTAACCGAACAAACTTTGTTCGGTCCTCACAAGTCACCTCAACGGTGAGGCACATTCTCGCCGGAGCCGGATCGCACGCCGTCGGAACTCCTCACCCCTGCGGCCCCCATCCCCTCACGCTTGGCACCCAACACTCTCTCTCCTGCGGTTGTGAATGAGTGACGTCAAGAATCGGGAGTACACCCCTTATGTGGGAAGTGGTGTAGCAAGTGTACATGCAAACCTTGTTAAACCGCCAATGTCTGTGCAGCAGGATTTTGGTGGCTTAACAAGGGTAGTAGTTTATCAGGGGTGGTGGTTTATGGGAGAAGCATACCAAAAAGGAGATTAAATCAACATAAACATTTGTTTACTTTCATCTGCAACAGATCTTCCTTTTATTATGATTGTGAGTATTTCATGGGAAAATTTGAAAACAGGTGGAAGAATTTTTAAAAATAAAAATACAGAATAGTGGTGGCTTTAAATTCCTTACTTCACAACATCTAGTCTTTGAAGAATGCGCATTAAGCATTAGCAAGTTTACTTGTGGGTTGGAGCATCATCAATTGATAAATATAGTCCAAAAATTGCATGCCAAGTGCAAAACAGGGTTTATTAGGATTCAAAGCAAATATTGTCATTCAATCTTTGTTGTTACCATTTGTTTTCTTTATCCAAAACAAAACCTTTTCAAACCCAAATTATCACCCCAGCACCACCAACATCAGTTGGAGTTCCACAGCAGCATATGTTTCTTCAGAGAACTTTCTCAAAACTGGCTTTAGTTTTTGATGGTTATATTCTGCAATCATTAAGATTAAAACATTATTAAATTGTGTGCATGTGAACATTTTGCCAGAGCATTTTGCATGCTGCTGATGAATGAAAGTCTTTTCTTTTAAAAGTCCAGTACAGGAAATGTTCTGATATGCAAACATTTCCTCCCAACATTCCAGGGCACCCAAAAGTCCAAAACCTGAGACATCAAAATGACAAACAATAATCCCCCCTTTAAACAGTCCATGCTTTTTCTCCCTTGAGGGATTGCATCTTTTTCAATAAAATATTTTGGTTGCAATATTTTGAAATATCCAGGGTGAGAAGTTTTGAGCATCAGGAGGGTTTTAGTCTAGTAAAATGTTTGCAGGAATTTTGAAAAATATTGAAAGGAATCCTTGAATTTGTCAGAAAATTAGCAAATGTTTTTGCACCCTTAATTAAAATTTAATGGCTTAATTTTTAGGAGTATTATAAATTCTACAGGAATCTCCTGAGAGCATAAAAGGGAATATCATTTTTCACACAAAATTGGCATTCAAATTGGATTATAAAAAGCTACACAGAAGAGGACATCTTTGGCAGTTTAAAGAGGGAAAAAGCATGACAAGGACAAAATAAATGCACAAAAATTCAAAGCAGCCTCCCTTTTCTCCTGCTGTTGAAGCCAACTGTGATGTTGTGAAGGTTTTTATATTTATGTTTCTGGCCTTAATATCCATCCCAACAATTGAAAACATTTAAATTGAAAAAATTTTAAAAGCAAGAATGAAGGATGAAAATGAAGGTTTCAAGCAGAACCTGTTGTCCACTCAAATTGCTGGGTTTAACAAGCAACATATATGATGTTGTGACATGGTGAGATATTCAATTGTATAGTCATGCAGGAAGTAATACAAAAAATTTTTGAAATGTCTTTCCCCAAGGAAAGACATCATACCATCATCACATAAGTGAGATATAATTTTTGCATGATGTATGAGGTCTCTATGGAATTATTGGAATATGAGCAAATTTGATACCATTTTGATTGCACCCAAAATGGTATACTATTGTGAGCACCCAAAATGGTCATGAGCACCCACAACATAATGCCATCATAAGCACCCATGGTATACCATTGTGGCATGGTATATCATGTCACAATGTTATATCTCACACATGTGATACCATCATGTCTTTCTTCAGGGAGAGACATTTCATGCCTTTTAAAAATTAAATTCGTGCATTACATATTTTCCATTAAAAAAAACAGGAATTCTGCACCTTTACAAAAATATTTGCATTTGACATTGAAAAAAGACAAAAATTTTGCACTCCTGCACTCTGTCATGATTGAAACAATTAACAGAACAGGGCAAATTTTGGGTTTTTACTGCTTCCCAGGCAACATCATGAGCTTATCTATGGGTAACGGTAACACAAGCAAGAAGTGAGAGCAATCCTATTTGGACTTCAGAAAAGCCATAATTCTTTGAAATGAGAAAAATACAGCAAAATGCTGTAGTACCATGTAGGTACCATGTAAATGGCAACATGGCCCACTCCTCTGGACAGATTATTTTTAAAATGTCAAATGTTGTTGTAGGACTCATGTCAATTTTGAGTATTTGTTTAGAAATTAAATGAACAAGCCTTCATTCAGTGCTTCTGCTGATGTGAACAGCAGGAGAAGGGTGCCTGCCATGCATTTTTGTGCATGTAAAGTATTTTTGTGCAAGCTGTTGTGGCCTGCGATGTTTTAGAGGCTCTTCTGATTTGCTGTGCACAATTAGTGCTACGTTGTGCAACCTGAGTAAACATGAAGGATTTTCAAAATGCTTCATGTTTGGTATCATTTTGTAGAGTTTTCTGCATGAAATGAATCAATTTGAAAATTTTAAAGACATTTAAAAAAACTTTGAGTATTTTTATTTGACTTTTTTGTCAAAGAAAGCAACTTTCTTTTCAACTCAAGAAAAAAAGGAGTCCCCCTGTCCCACCAAAAACAGCCACATCCGGTTTGAAAGGGCCAACCGGGCAGGGACAATGAATTGAATAGGGGCTGGGGATTAGGGCGCCAACTTGTGGAAGGCACCATCACCAGCATACGGACAATCGCCCCGTCTGGGAGCTGCAGGGCAGCCAGCAGATGTCGATCTCAAAGAACCTAGCCTGATTTTTTTTCAGGTACCAAAGATCCAATCAGAAATAGCCAAGAACATGTGGGCTAAAATTTGGCAATCTGCTGCCTTGAAAATCCCATGAAATTGAAACCAGCGCACCCTGGTGTATGACAGTTCTCAGTAACTATCCATATCCAGTTTCTCAGTAACTAATCTTGAATCAGACTGTGCATATTCCATATATTCTTACATACCCAATCATTCAAAGAAGGATTTGAGGGACAGCACTGGTCATTAAATGCATGAGAAATACTTGAGAAACTGCTAGTCTCAAATATGAAGTTCACCAAAGGAGTCAATTGAAGCGGTCTATACGCAGGATGGACCAAAAGAATTTATTAACCAGATTTAACAGACATACAGTATTTTATTGTGAACAAAATGAGTTTTTTTTCTACAGGGGGTTGAGTCATTTTGTGCCTTTTCTATTAAAAAAAGGCACAAGAAATGCTGAAAAGCTTAAACTTGACTGGTTTGATGCTTCATGGCATCCAAAGAAGTCGAATATATATGATTTTTTCACATCTTTTGTGGAGAAGAAAAGCAGAGCTATTCACTGAATTTTTATAGTGAGTAAATAAAAGAAACACAATTCCAAGCATTTTAAATTATTTTGTGAGTCTATGATGCACTGTCATACTTGTCACATTATATAGCCTGTCTCAATGATGAAATCTTGTAGGAGAAAAATCCCGCAGCCCAAAAATCTTGTGAGGCTGACAATCCCATAAGCCTAAAAATCTTGCAGGGTAAAAAAGTACTGTAGGTAAAAAAAAATCCCAAGTTTTAAAAAATTGTAACATTGTCTCTTGGTTTTCCTTTCAAATTGTCTGTAAGGAATATAAATCTGGTGGATTACAAAATTGTGAAAGTGCCAGGCTTTGGGAGTTTTAGGAATTATTGTACCTTTCTCAATAGAGCCTCAGCTTTACTTCCTCAAGAGAAAGGTGATGTATTTTTCCATTTGGAGCCTTCATCCCTGCATTTGTTTAGGATATAAACTGCTGTGTACTTTCCCAACAATTTTCATCCCCTGAGGGCAATTGTCCAGTCCTTTCTCAATCTCAGGCATATGTAATCATTTGTAAACGTCTTCTACATTGGACAATACTTCAAAAATTGTCAGAGAATTCACATTCTGTTCAAAGGAACAATTCAGTTGCAAATTGAGATCACAATTGTGGAATGCCTATGGGAAATCTCTTCAATTTCACTGGTAGCATCTGTGTTGCACCAATGCCGCCATCTATCCATCAAGCAGCATTCCACTTGCACTTTCCCTCTCATTTCTACATTTGCTCATTCATTGCATTCACAATTAATAAATCTCTCTAAAGCCTTTTATTGTCTGATTAATGTGCTTAATATAAGTACTTGTGCTTAGAACAACTTCAAACACTTTCCAGGGGTGCTGGAACAGCATGTTGGCAATGGGAAGCACAGTACTGCACAGCATGTTAAACCTTACTAGAACTGGTGTAGCATGTTGTCCTGTGACACCGCTCATTGCACTAAACTCAAACCCTGAAGTCTGTCACTAGTGTGCATAAAGGAGAGAGTGATGAGGATAGGGAGTGAGGGGATGGGGGGTGCAGTGGCGCAGAGTACGGCTGGCGTGGCTTCCTCTACAGTGTGATATCCGTGGAGGGATGAGCGGAAAAGTCGTGGAGTCGTTTACCAGGGAAAAGCTGGCGATTTTTAATTTTAAGAGAATGTATGACGATTTTTCTGTGAATCCTTGGTTCAATTTTGCTCTTGCTGGGAAATCTCCGTGTTCAGACTGTGTTAGAAGCGTTATGTGGGGGGCGAAAAAAGTTGCAGGGAATGTGAATTGCCCTAGTCAAAATTCTTGACGTTGATCTCGGATGAATATGCGTTGGTTCGAAGAAAGTAAACGCGATGTTCGTGAAAAATTCTTGTCTCTTCATCATTCATTCACAACAATATAGAGTACGCTTTAATTAATGAGAGCCACCATGTTTTTTCCGCGTGCAAAAGGACATCTACAACATACCATTCTCGGATTAGAAAAAAAAAAACGGATTTCTCACTGCCTACAGAAAATTTCTATGCTGTGGCGGTTGTTCTGATTGCGGATGCGAGCAGCATGTGAGGGTCGATGAGAATCGCTCATGCTGTAGCGCTTCTTCACAGTTCGAATGCTCAGAGAACCTTTGCCCGTTTGCACTACTCGCTGTTGCATTTTCAGACCTCGAGGACTGATGGGCTGGGTGTTGTCGAGGATTTTGTACGCCAATCCGCCGTTGCTTATCCTATAATCGCTTAGGACACGACTGGGTTCTTGCCCACCTACCCAGTCAGGGAGTTCGTCAGCCAAAGAGTCCGCGCAGCTGTTGGAAAACTCGCGATTCAACCTGAAATGAGACGGGAGTGTGCTTTTCGCTAGAATACGTTGCGCTTACTCTTCAGGAAAAATTTTGCCGGCGTTTCGGAATTGATTTCAGTCTGTTAATGCGGAAACATTACAATACCTTGTTCGAACTGGGGTGACGAAAGCTTGTGCTGACATCAAGTCGGCGATGTTCTTTGCGCTGGAGGACTTGCGCAATCTGCCGGGGGCTGAAAAATTAATAGTACGCGCATACTTTTAGTACTATAGTTTATATGCTCGTCCGCACTCGTGCATGGCAAAATGTGAAGATAATCAGCTCACAATTCGACTGTTGTGCTGCTGCATTATCACATTGTACTTTCCATTGGAGCAATTCATTGCCTCTCAGCCGCCACTCCAACTCTGATCTCAGGGCCGATATTTTTCTGTCGCTTTCGTCTGCAACTGTGGTTAATTCTCTGTTGGTGATATGATTGAAATTAACACATCGTTTCATGACCCCGAAACTTGACAATTTGCGACTCAATTTCTGCGGCTTCATTTATGGGATCAATTTCTGTGACGGACCCGCTGCAATTTTTTCTCTGCATTTCGAGATACCACCGAGTAGGCTTTATGAATTATGACCGTAATTACTTCGCATTTAAGGAAAGCTGGCCAAAAATGTCTAAGGGTGCAACCTTGAAACAATTTGAGGACTGTTCAAGAGAGGTTAGTTGATCATCGAACATGAGCTTATTATGAGTTGAATAACTTCATGTCTGAAAAACTTGATCCCAGTTGTACGTTCATGGTACTGTACATAAAAAGAGCAAAAAAAAACGAACAGTAATTTCAGTGAAGCAGCTACATGGCAAATAAGTTTGGCTTGTGATCGAAAAATTGAAACCTGCTCAGGAATTGTTACTCCACTCTACCTTATAGTTTCGTCTCTGTTACGGAGAATCGCGTTGAGCATTTCGTTGTCGGCCACTTTCCGTTGAAGAGCTGTCTCCAGCTCCAAGCATAGTTCGCGTTTTTCCTTGAGTTCTCTCTTGAACCTCCGCAAACTTTCGATTTCAAGCCGTTGATCGTCGATGAATCCGCGGAGTGATGAATTGTCGTCTCTGAGATCTTTAATCGATGCTTGCGATCCCGGCGGAGGTGGAATGAGTTGGCTCCCTGTTTTCAAAACCTTTCACGAACAAGAGCAGAAGATGTTGCTTCAGCAATTATTTGATTCTTGAAGAGCACGCGCTTTTGACTTTTCTTCCAGCATTCGTCTCAAAATCACTCCTCGCACTTTTTGTTGCGAAATTTACTGTGCGATTGCTTCGGGATCAACAGTGAGAATATAACTGTATTTGCTTTCTTCTCGAAGGATTTATTCGCGAGAATATAGTCCGCTATCTGAGGTCTGTCAGCCGATCTAAGAAAAACATCTGGCTTGAAAAAATTGACATTTTTGGGGGATATGCAGTTGTTGAATTCGTACCACAGTACTGCGCAGTAGTTTCCTTCGGGAATATTTTTTTCAAGGTGCCCTCTTTCTTGGTAAGTTGATAATCCGTGATAGAGACGCTTGCAAAATGCCAAAAAATATACTTGGAGCTTATTCTATTGCAGAATTTTCGTCTGTTCTACTTTCCCCGTGACTAAATCTTTATTTATATAGCGTATGGCACAGACGAGTACTTCCGCGCATTTTTCAGGAGACCGTGCGGCCTGTAATCGCGTTAATACGAAAGTAGAGCTGTTGAATAAAGAAAGTTCTCTTGTATTCTTATTCTGATCACGGATTTATCGAATAAAAGTAACAAGCCCCTTGATGAATGGACAGCATGTATTGCCGTTCTTAATTTTCGAGATAAATGAAATAATCTACGCAGAGTATTCTTTTAATGCTCGTTTCCTGAAACCCATCCACGCCTTTTATTACTGAATTCGAAAGCCGCAGTTGCGTGAAAGAATGTGAGTGGCCATAAATGTAAAAGGTATTCATGGGCGGGTGATCTATTAAAACCTTAACGAGTTGCGTCAATGGCACATGGATGACCTTCTCTAACCCAGGTTAGGATACAAAAGCGTGTGGGAAGCAGGCATACGCATCAGTGTATACAAACACGACCTGCGCAACGGGATGGGCTCCCAAGAAATTCTGACATCCATTGAACAGGTTTTCAATAATTGCGGGAAATGCTGTTGTTAAAAACTCTAATTTTTATGAATGGCCTTTCACAACTGTTACAATGTTTGGTTATAGATGTTCATGTTTGTGTGCGCGTAAACTGATGTCATATACTACAGTATGCAATTTCATCTGATTTTTGATGCGTCCGATTTTTTAGTTCATTTTTTATTATTATTCCTTACTCAAGTTACATAGTGCATTAACTGAGTTAACCTTAATTAAAACTTCAGGGCTTTGTTTTGTGCACGCTGGAATAATTGAGGGAGTATCAATTTTTGGAAGCCCCAAGTTTGGGCGAATATGAAGTCTTAGAAAGGTTTCATTAGACTTCTTGAAAATGACTGGAATTTTTATTGTTCAACTGATGAAGATGATCAATATAAAATACTGTAATATTGTACTACGGTTTGGCATCTTGTGCAATTTTAGTGGACAATCCTGTATTCTCTGAGAAAAGTTCTGTTTATAAGCCGTGTTCATGCCAATTCGGTAAAGGTACTTATTGTTCGGGAGACTTTTCACATAATGCCTCAAAAGCTTATGTCAGAACTGTCGCAAGTACATCAAATCTCTTCGAGCTTTTCTCTTCCAGCAAAGGAATTTAAAATACCCTCACGTTTAAATTAATCATTTTATTTTTTAATCAATGTCCACTCGAGAACTTGTGCTGCGAAAGAAAGCTTTTTTCACATGATCACATCCCTCTGTAATTATTTTTCTACCATTCAGCAATACGACTTGGCAATTCGTCTTTTTCCGCACTGATGCGAGAAACAAATGTGCACCAATTCATCCTATCAAAGTATAATCGTTATTAAAATTTTCCGATTATTCATGCTAATTTTTCTGCACACTGTATGGACGAAAATCGAGAAGAATTGCGTTTTTGTCGAGGCACGGATTCGAGTCCAAAACTTGCTGAAAGAAATAATTGATAGGAATCATCATCATCATACTTGAACCTTTGTACTATTGGAGGAGGAAAATGGCTGAAAGTGTGGTGTCTTTGTAAGGATGGAAAAAAGCGGATGGAACACATTATTTTTATTTGGAGGATTATCAGTTCGATCTGATCATCTGAATATCTGAAAGGTCCTCATACATTAGTTTGGAATGCTGATCTCCGCGCCAAAATCAGACATCTCCAATTTTTTGTTTTGTTTTTAATACATAACAGTAGGGTATCTATTACTTCCAGTGAACCGTAATCCCTATAGCTAAAACATATGAAGTTACCCGAGGGTTTCAGTTAACGAATGAAGTTTTTAAACTTATCGTGGAAACGTTGTACTGTACTGTATCCGCTTTAGAAGTGTGCGAGCAAAACAGAAAAAGATTCCGCCTACGCACTCACCGAGGTCTGGACTGACTTTTCTTGGCGTCGCGCTTCCTGCTTGCGAAGCAGCTCTTGAAGTGCGCCTGTGATTGCGTGGGAAGAAGGGAATGGGTAGTACAATATAAGGTGAACGCGTTCAGGGCTCTTTTTTCAATGAGAGAATAAAAGACGAACCGTAACCAGATTCTCTAAAAGGGACTCACCGATCTCCGCCTCCTTATTTCGGATTTCCTCTTCGTGAGCCGCTATGCGAGCAGATGCTGCGCTCATGTCACCATTAGCCTGCAGCAGTAATGTGGGGTTTCATTCTCATTATTACCGTTCTCTGATTCTTGATCACGTGTAATTAGTGTTCCTACTGCGAGCACGACTGAGGAAACCTTGTTGATAGTCTACCACTATTCGCGTATCTATATTCATTTTTCTTTGTCTCGTGAATTCAGTATTCGTGCGATGAATAATTAGTTAATCACGTTAGTTGAAGAGAAAATGAAATACATTGGGGCCCCGGAATACGGACGAATCGACGTGATGACACTTGAAACTACAAAACTGCCCTGACATTCGGAAAATGTCTCAAGATAAAACACTTGGCCAGCATTAATATAAGATGAATAGAACAAAATTATTTTTCACAAGCTCTTGAATTTTTAAACCTCGTGAATTTTGAAACCTCGTGTACAAATTGAGCTATTTCAAAGAACAAAAATGCGAAATATCTCGCTTAATAAATTTACTCTAATTCATAACCCGAAACAAGCTAATTTTGTGCTTCTTCTATGTTGGGTTTTCCATGAACTCTGTTTAGAACAATGAAGCAAGATTTTTTGTTGTTGCTTTTTTTGACGCCTAATTGTCGTGTCAAAAGGCAGATTCTGTATGGTTTTCTTCGGCGCAGTTATTGTCTGTATCTTGAAGTTGAGAAAAAAATTGTACCCCAGTATTGGAAGGGTTTCCCAATTTTTTGCCATCAGTAGGAGAACTGATCAAAAAAATGTTCCCATAATTAAAACCGATGGGAAAACGTGATCCGACGTATGGACAAGGTCCAAGAACGATTACGTCCGTTTGTCGGGGTCCCTTCATTTCTTTATTATCCTGGCTTTATGCGGAAATATTTAAAATCATTCGAGATACGGACAATTGTTGGGTTCCGAATATATACTGTGATGAACCATTTTAATTAATCAACTCGTTTAAAAGCTCGCAATCTACTTGTCTTAAATATATAATAAAAGGTGTACAGTTATACCGATCTTGGAAGCCCTCCACCTACTATCCACCCTTTTTTTACGGATTTTTAGCCTTCTTCGTACATCAGGAACATTCAATATTTGTCAAGTACTTCTTCTGCATGGATTTCATATAACCAAAAGTTGACATTCTTGTGCTCTAATCCAATTGATGCCTCGCTGTAGCGCAGTCTGCGCAGAATTTCATTACAAAAATCCACTCAGGAAACCATTAGCAAATTAACTGGTCTAATTTACCTTGAACTAACCAAGTCTTATACTTAAATCGAATTAATTAAAACCCATGTAAACCTGCTCTAAAAAAAATCTAGAATCTAGAAAACTGACGCAGGGAAAAATTTGGTACGATAAAAAGATTTCTCCTGAAAAACTAAAGATGAAAAGTCACTCAAAAGTGGATGGTAGGAATATATTCCAGCTTTTGGGCGGTTCCTGCTGGGGAATCCTCAGTGGTACTGTATAGTCCATGTACAGTTCTATACCCAAATTCCTGAATGAGGCTGGCCTGAGTGGAAAAGTCGCCACACGACTTAGTGGTAGCAGTCTCGGTGCTATCACAACCTTATCCAGCACTCAGCACGCAACTAGAGCAGTGCGTCGTCAAGTCGCAGTCGGGGCTGCGAAGACGCAGCGATCGCGACGGACGAGCGCGACGCGCACGCCAAGCTGTCACTTCCGCGTCGAAAACTGCGCTGACTCGCTTCAGACACGACTGAGTCCGCATTGCTGATCTGGAGTCGCACGAGCTCGTGTCCATTATTGCTCATCTGCTGATTTTGACGAGGGTCAGCACCAGCAGCTGCTCCTGCTGTCGACGACGAAGATGGCACTGACAAGAATTTCTTGATGTCTGCATTTTTGCTGGCATGATGACGTCGCGGAGGCGGCGCGACAGCCGTTCGCACGTCCTCCGCGCTGCTCTGGAGGCTTCCATGCCCTGCTGCTTTGCTTCCTGATGTGCAGAAAATCAAAGAAATGTATGTGAGACGCTTTTCTGAAAAATATTCTCGCAGAAATTTCCAGAAATATTCACAGAAAAAGGACACAAGTCCAGAGCTATCGGAATGTTAAACGGATGCACACAGGTTTGCCTGTTGTCCAAATGAAAAAAATAAATAATTCATCAGTTTTCTTTCTGGGTCTTTTCTGGAATAACAGCTGTGGTTCCCTTCACAATAGAAACTTCGCACAAGAAATGCAGGGGTTCTTGACAAAATTCCTACTTAGGGAGAAGTAGAAAAAACCGAGCAATCCTTTGACGAGATGGTTAATTTTGTTGGAATAAAAATGAAACTGAAAAAAACTATCGATTCAAGGATAATTTTGAAATGCTGTACAGTATTTTTCACGATATGAGGGAAAAGTTCCAGGAAATGACAATCATTTTGGAAGTGGCTTAATTTTCGTATCATGTAGAAAAGAAAGGTTTTATGTTCGCATTGAACAAATGAACTTCGTTATGAACCGGACAGAGTCATAAATCAATTTGACTTCTGTGTTTTTTCCCTGTCGTTTTTATAGGCCAGAAGACTGAGAGCAAACACGTCACCTTCAAAAATGTAATGCTTAAAGAATGCAAGTAAAATAATTTTCTGGGGTGATTCGAAGGCTTTCTCATTTCTGACAGAAGAATCACCTGCTCTACTCAAACTTGGAAGAAATTACTCAAAAAAATGAGGGCGTTATACTGATTTTATAATTTAATGTATTTCAACAGCAAAGTTGCGAACGTGATAGTGCGCAAACCGCTTGAAGGTATTGCTATTGAAAATCGACTCAATTTCTTCGCGTTTACCCTGTATCCTCTGGGAACGCATCTAATCAGAGAACATATAATGTTGTTGAATATTTTAAGACTTCCTGCCTGACGTGCATGGGAATGAAAAAGGATAACTTTCAATTATCTTTTAAAAATGCAAGCGAAAAACTTGCGGAGAATGCTAAATAAGATCCACCTCAATGCGAAACTTCGAGAGAAATGCAAGGCATGCGGAAATCATGCAAATGAGGATCATTAAAGGACTATTCCACCAAATTTATCGGAAAGCTTCAAACCTGGTCGATTGGTCGGTTCTCACGTAACCAGCTAATATGGACCACCTCAAATTATTCACTTTTGCAATCGTGATGGCGTGCTGGTTTGAATAAATGATCAAACGCTTATACAGAGGTTCATGGTGAAATTATTAAATTTTGATTACGGTATTATATCAGTTCAATAACGTCCATTGCTGGGTTCAAGATAAACCATAGACATGAAAATATTCGTATTCTTTAAAGTATGCTTCTTTTTTTTTTTTTTTTTTTTACAAAATAACCTTCGACACCGCGATGTGTTTCCAGTTATACTGAAAATTTTCTGATTTAGTTATTGAATTCGGGCATGATTCCACATTACGTAAACAACAGCTCGGACGAGAGGCGAAACTTTACTTGAAACATCTCATACATTGCACACAAATTCCAAATTAATTGTTTTGCCGGAAATATGTCTTGACTCGGAATTAACGATCTTTCATCATATTTTTTAATCAAAACTTCATTAGTTGATGTAAGTAACTCGCAATAGATTAATGACGAGCACGTTTTGCTTTTTTCCGGAACAAAGAACATTAAAGGACGAAGGATGGGTAAAAATAATGCCCTGTATTTACAGTTTACAATAAGTATATCTCTTTTCTGATTTTTAATATCAGCGAATAATAAGATCGGCTTTTACAGACGATACCTGAAGAATCGATTTTTTGCAATAAATGCAGCGTAACATGCCACAGAACTGCTAAAAGGGCTCAAAACGGCAGTTTTGATCATCAATTTGTATCTTTATTATTATACATTTTTTTCCATGGTGTTTCGCAGACTTGGAAAAGACGAACAGGACACAGAGCGAAGCTTTTTCTCTGAAAAAGAAAGAATGAAAATGCTTCTTTCTCGAAATCGCATTCCTCATTGTCGCCATCAGGACAAGTTTCTATTTAAAGAAACCGTATTCATATTTGATTGAATAGATATTCGAAGGGAATCCAATTTCCTGCAGTGCAAGTAACGAATATACTGTAGTACTGCACAGGGATACAATACAGAATTTCGAGTGCGAGTTTCTCATTAAACTGTATACGATCTCAATGCTGTACATTATCTGAGCGAAGAAATTGGAAAACACGATAGACGATGAGTGCCGTACTGCAAAATAATGTCCTAATCGGGAAGATTATTCAAGCTCCTTGAATGCTGTTCATGTGAGCTATTAAAAAAATGCCTTCTTGAACAGAGACGGAAATTGCCGTCTTTTCAGAAACTCTCAAAGAATTTTTTTTTTCGAAACTCGAACACGTATACTCGAAGGAATTGCGCTTGAAACGGAGTCACAATATACAGGCGTAGGGTTCAAATTTCTCGCTGCTCCACAGGAGAGAAAAGAAGGGTTCGGCGGGTTTCGCTCTCACGTGATTAGTTCAAATCCACGGGGAGTCTTGGAAAGCTGTGGGTTTTCCGAAAGAAAACCAACCATTATTAGGCTTCGGAGTACGAGAGATTAAAACGGAATTGGTTTCAAACTTCTTGCTATTTCTAGATTCTTCATTCGGCAGTGCGCTGAGAAGGAAAGCAAAATTGAAGCATTTTCTGAACACCGAAGAAAAAATTGCACGCGAGCGAAATATCAATGAAGAATTCAGCGTTTTCCTTTGTTCACGAACAAAGAGTGCATTAATAATTACTGTTCACTTGATCATTCCTTCCGCGTTTGAGATTTTTGAATTTCCGTAAATGTGAGGTTCCTTTGTTAAAGTACGAAAAGGGTGTCCCAAAAAACTCGGAAGATTTTCACGCGGCAGTATCTATATGAAAAGTTGAATGTACCGGGATACCTCTTGAGAAATATGCAAGTACAATACAGTAATTCCACGATGAATAACTTTTTGAACATGGTAATAACGTAATTCAGAGGTTTTAAACCTTCTGGGTTTTCACATCAAGCTTCCATCGGGTTTCACGGATGCTCAAAAGAAATAAAAATTGTAAAAACGTAGAAAAAATGTTATATTAAGAGTTATAAACTTTATAGATTACGATGTCTTTCAGAAAGGGAATATAATTTCATGACGGGACGGAGTATCCGGCTTTTTATCCCAAAAAGTAATGTCCAAGACACCAGGATAGGCCCAAGAGTATCGAATAATTTTCAAAATTGTCCAACTTTCTTTTTTGAGATAGTAGCTCTAATAATTAATTACTGTACCTTAAAATTTTCAGTGGGTTCCTTTTCCTTACAAAAGAATATTTACAAATATACAAACCTAATTATTCGGCTAAATCAGAATCCTTTCCCCGCCATGGAATACGTGGGCCTAGACGCGATTTTCAGAAAAAAATATTACGTCATCTGCGATTTTCACTGGTTTCTAATGCGCTGTGATCGGAGAAAAATTTTAAACTGCGATTCTAAAGATCATCGAAGAATACATATGTTTAGGAATTTCAATGATTTTTAAATTACCCATGATTTTACAAATGTTAAACGAGTCTTAAATCTTCCAGGAATTTAAAATACGTATTTTTCTTCATTTTGCGATAAATTTCTACTCCAGATGTGTTGAAAGGAGGCATTCAAATGGTTTCTCCAAAAAATGACAACCCACCGCGATGATTACGCGGTATTTTAAACTTTGAAAAACATGAATAATGCATTTAAATTTGAATTCGATTGACTTGGCGATAGATTGCCACCATTGCGTGGAGGCGTATCATTTACATTTAAAACATTCATCGTCAGGATATTTACAAATTAACAGACCAACGCGTTCAAACATAGCAGAGTTAATAAAAAAAAACGTATCCCCTGAAGCGAAAATTGAGTCAAAGTACAGTAGTGTACTTGTTCCCAAATAAGTACGAATTACGAATGCAAATGGTAAACGAAATTAGCATCTAAACATGCACGTTGATTCGCAAAGGAGGCGCAAACATTCCTTCATAATGAGTCACGATATTTTAGAAACGTGCAAGTCCGAAGAAGGGGCCGTATAGTCGCGTTCGACGAGGTCATGTTGTGAGCCGCTTGTTGCGTCATCATTCGTGCTGCTCAGGTCAAGCACTATACATCTGACACTGACCAACACCGGGACAAATCTGTTCCACGAGCACTTGACTGTCAAGTTTTACATCTTTCCGCTTCGCATCTTATTGATATACAAGTCAACCTCGACACAAATTTCGCTGTGATAATAAGCCAGATCCGAAGTACGCGTCGACGGCCTTATTATGATCACCGAATGACCGATTCTTCAGAAAAATAATTAGAGATTGCGTTGCATGTGGGAAAGACATAAGTGAGACTCACTTTTGCTGCCGATGAGGCCCTTGCACAACGTGTTCCCCATTTTTCGCCCTGCTGAAAGCACTGAAAAAGTCAAAGGATTAGTATCTACGAGTGACGCGACGGGAAATAATGTGATGAGAAAAATTCACGTCATCGACACTATCGCTGGGTAACATTCCAGTGAGGTAATCATCACCACCACGTACTATTTCCGGAATCGAGTACTGTAATAATGATCCAAAATTGACTCGGACAACTATGGCGCCGTAACCTTCATCAGGACTTCGAGAATAAGTCGTCCGTCACATACACAGCTCATGTTAATTCAAATTACTACCATTTCAAAGATTCAGATTCTTCGTAAACACCGTAGCTACTCAAATTTAAATATTGGCCTCGAATTTCGTCTCGCAAAACTTGCCACACAAAAATCAGAACAGCTATAGTTCGTATGGTGATGCGTCTGAAATTCGAGACGTGTCGTCGCGGATTTTCGCACTTATAAAACCACAACACTTTGTATCCAAATTAAGTCCGAAATCCGATCACTGTATAATGATTGTAGCCACTTGCAATCTTAACAAAGAATTTGGAATCCCGATTCCTTTCGCGCATTACTGTAGTGAGAAAGGGTGATATCTGAGGTATTATATTAGCGGAATCGGCACACATCGGATTCTGCGGGATTAATGGGATGCGATTCAGCTTATTTTTTATAACAGCAGGCAACACTTCTTTTTTGGAGAAAAAAACATGGCGTTGCGTCTTAATGATCGAATGGCGTCTTACATTAGAGTAAAAACGGTACTGCATGTATTCGAATCTGTATTCCAGTCAGGTGTTCCTGCGTTTGGACAACGAGCTGATGATGAATACGATTGTGACAGTGATGAAGCACATCCTCGACGCGAGGTAAGGTCATTCTCAAAGACACCAAAAGAATAATAATTACATGAATGCAAATATATCTGCATGATGAAGACGAATAAACGGAACTCACGAGCCCAACCACTCAGCAACAAAAGCACGGCGAGAAGCAGCGACTCCATCATAACTCGGAAATCTCTGGCGAAATCCTCGTTAACACACGCGAAATCGTCGGGATCATCCTCGTCTTCGGGATGCATAACAAAATGCGTTAGTGTAAAAACTGACAAGGTTGATCCCGATCTCTCCACAACCCACACTAAAGTCCGACAAGCTGCGGTTCCCCGTAACCGTATGGAATGGTTTTTTTTTTTCGAAGCTGTCGGCTTCCGTTCTACTTCCGGGATTCGAACAACTCTGGAGTTGGTCCTACGACCTTCGCTGCCTCCCCGCGTGCCTTTGTCTTGTCTTCCGAGTCAGTTGGAATGCTCTTCTTTGCTCGCCTTGTAGTGGGCTATAATGCTGAGTTATACTCATATTTTATTTTCATTTTATCTTTTATTTATGGAGGGTGAGCAGGAAGCGTTTGACTGCTGGAGCAAATGTCCTGCGGGAGACAGTCATATATTTCAATACCGCTTGAAAGATTCTTTCAGGAACGGACCTCATAGTGTACATACGGGAAAGAGGTATAAAATCTCTTGGAATAAGATCGGCGATATTACTGAAGTACGTTTTTATAAAGTGTTTTACGAACTTATAACATGCATGAGTTCATGGTACGGGAGTTCACTCTACGTGCAGGACGAATTTTTTTCTTTAGAAAATGTGCAAATAAAAACCAAGATGCGTAGCTTTTTCTCTGATTCAAATTGGATTATAATTAAAAGTCCATTTCAACGAAGCTGTTGGGACCAATGAAAAGCTTCATCATAAAAATGAACTGTATAATCGTAGAAAGCAATCCCAATTACAGTTCGGCTACCGGCGGACAGTGACTTGAAAAAAAGGTATCAGTTGTAAGCAAGCATTTGTTGAAACACTATTTGACTGTCTGAAGATTCTGCTGTATACTCGCAAAAATATTCATCAGATAAAAATGTGAACAAAGTCTTAAAAAAAGTTTAAGGCCATGTTACTTTTATTGAAGTGTGTTTCCTTTTCGAAAGAATGAAATCCAGCTGTTATTTGAACCTAAAATTATATTTTGATCAGTTGTGTTTTTTTTTCGATATGCTGAATTTGTTTGATAATTTTTGGTTTATTCTTACATTTTCTTAAAATGCTGTGATGTACGTGCATAGCAGTACTATTTGCATCTTACTTTTTAAATAAATAAAAAAAACTTGCATAGTACTCAAGTAAGCAAGGGTTACTTGTTAACGAGGGTTACTTGTCCTTCGCTTGCCATTTATTTTAATGTTAATTTTTACTTGTTTTTCTCCATATTTTAGAGAACCTTATTCTAGCCGCTATAATGACTTCATGCAAAAATATTTCACAAAATGCTTGAATATTGTACGTACTCAAGTACCATGCCCTCAAGTGAGATGCACGTCCTGCTTATTTTTTTCTTTAGAAAATGTGCAAATAAAAACCAAGATGCGTAGCTTTTTCTCTGATTCAAATTGGATTATAATTAATAGTCCATTTCAACGAAGCTGTTGGGACCAATGAAAAGCTTCATTATAAAAATGAACTGTATATAATCGTAGAAAGCAATCCCAATTACAGTTCGGCTACCGGCGGACAGTGACTTGAAAAAAATGTATCAGTTATAAGCAAGCATTTGTTGAAACACTATTTGACTGTCTGAAGATTCTGCTGTACTCGCAAAAATATTCAGCAGATAAAAATGTGAACATTGTCTTGAAAAAAGTTTAAGGCCACGTTACTTTTATTGAAGTGTTTTTCCTTTTTGAAAGAATGAAATCCAGCTGTTATTTGAACCTAAAATTATATTTTGATCAGTTGTGTTTTTTTCGATATGCTGAATTTGTTTGATAATTTTTGGTTCATTCTTACATTTTCTTAAAATGTTGTGATGTACGTGCATAGCAGTACTACAGATAAACGTAGAATGAAAAATTTATTTATTTTTTTTGAACGTATCATGAGTTCATTCGTTCCCAATGAACAATTGCTCCCAATGAACAGGAAGCGAACGGTAAATAAAATTACAATTAAAAATGAACATTATATTTTATTTGGGTGGGCAGGAAGCAAATGGCTGGAGCAAGTCAGGATGAGGCACTGATTAGTTTGGGATCTATGTTTTCCAAAATTTTATGAATATTGAAATTTATTTTTCGCTATATTTTCATCACGGAGCATAATGATTGATTTCCCTGACCATCCTTATGCGTAAAAAAAATTTGAAAATTTGAAAAGGAAGCTGGTGCAAAAAGGTGTTACTGAGAGCAGGATTTTTCAGGAACAGCTGAAAAATCTTTCTCCAGGACAACACTTTTTAAAAATTTTAATTCTATTTCAGGATGACCAGGATAGGGTAAATTTAAACGTATGTTGCTGTCTATTGAAAATACCTACTTTAAAAGACTTATTGTAAACAAAAAATTAGGTTGGCCTCGTTTTGCAAACCTGGGGAATCCTTACTGAGGCAGTTAATCGAATCAATACAAAGAAGGGATGTATGCAACTGTTAGATCTTCCTGGTTCAGTCGTCATGAGTATATCGTATAACACGGTTCTGTGGGTTCTTAGCAAGATCATAGCAGGAGGAGTATGTCCTTTGCGTCGAAGACTTCTTCATAACAGAGAAGCTCTGGGGCTTAATTAATTTAACAATGCATTAGCTTAACCTCCGAAAAATATTTGAGAAAGGTTTAGGAACGTCCGCAAATTAAATATTTGCTTTTGCTCAATAACATACGAGCGTTATTAGTATTGTAAAGCAAAAAATGGAATCCCGCAAATTGACGCTTGTCAGGAATCAAATGATGAAAATATGAAAATACTTCGCACATGTCATGTAAAATGAAGCCTTAAAAAAAATTATAAATTCTCAATTTGAACAGTATAGTTCAGCAAGGTAGTAAAAATAAACTGATTTCAATGCACAATTCCGCGACTTCAGCTTAGTTCTCAATGTATACGCTCGGGAAGGAAGAGAAATAAATGTATGGAGCCAAGTATTCGTTTAAAAATTCGATGGAAGTTTTTATACTTGTTTCTCTGATTTTCGAAACGCTTTGTGCATAAACTAATATCTCAGGGGGTATTTACGAGTTGAGAAAGTTTTGACGTGTAGGGCGAAATTTCCAAATGTTACTTGAATTTGACCTTATTGCGAAGGAGGAAGAATTGATGTGAAAAATAATTCCTTGTATTTTTTTCCAATGTCCAACCTCAATACGTCGAGATGAATAAGATCCGAAATACGAGTGACATATAGCTCAACTTCAATTGTCACCCCGAAAACATCGCTAAAATATTCCACCAAATCAAGCCCGACTTGCACTGAATTCATTTCAATACAGTAGTATTCTTAAATACAGTATCCCAGGAACACATCCCAATCAACTTTATGGATGTCACGGGAAAACTGCATTCGAAGTTTTCGGTGAATAAAAATGTAACAACTCAATATGGTTCAATTCTGACTCGCGAAAATCACACCAGCATGCTGTTCCTCACGTTGGAGTCTCAAATTTGCTCATCTCACCAATCTTTCGCACTCGGCCCCAATAACTGCCATTAACCAATTAAATAATAACACTGGACAAGCCCCATATATATGCTTGTTTGTACATTTTTTTATAATTTGAGCCGCCGAACAAATATTGGAGCTGGAAACCCGAAGAGAACGGAGTCGGCGGCGCGTTTGGGAAGCCAGAGAACCTCTCGGAACGGGACACCGGGCAGAGGAATCAGTGTTCTCGCCCCTCGGGGGCTGTTTCCACATCGCACCAGGCTTCCCTCTCGCACCCTCTGGGTTGGCGAATCCTGCGTGGACCACGTTTTTCGTTGCCTTTCTATCTTCCACTCTCGGGGTTATGTTGGTCGCCGGCGGGGTTGATGATGAGATTCTCTAATAATTTTCCCAACAATTTATCGCGGCTTTATTCTTTCCCAGCAGCAGCAGCAAGGAAATACTTTCTCGAACTCGCGTTTTTTTTTCTTCACGCGTGGACTCCAGCATGCATCAGTATAACTGTATTTTTTGAAACGAAGAGTTGTGCTTTTTAGAACCTTGAAGGTCTGCTGGGACAAATATAAATTTATGATTTAAAAACAAACATCATGGTAAGTCGTTGAAGAGGTAGTCCGGTAAGTGAACTAATATTTTCTCCACGTCAGTTTGGAATATTTCGGACACTTCAATTATAAAATTCGGACAGCTTTTGATCCATCAAAAACAAACTAGCTTCTTCAAAAATAAAATAAAATTTGTATTTCAGACAAACTTTACTTGTCACGTAGCATGTATGAAAGCGATCAGAGATAGATAATGACGAGATCAGGAAGTTGATCGAGCTGGTTAACCGCTTGAATGCAAATTTTAATTAGAGAATCTTGTCTTCGATTGGCTCATGTTTTTATAGGCAAAAATTTGTTTTGAGCTGGGTCAAGTATACTAGCTTTTATTGATGGCAGTGAAAGTCAACTCAATCAACCCTGTTAAATCGTCCGAATTCTTCGAGGAGAATTAATAAGAAATTTCAAGCTCCATGAATTCCATCTATTCCACACGATGCACAGCTTAGTCATGCGAAGAGAAGTTCCGTTTTCGAGATGAACAGAAAATCATTTTTAAATTTATCCTTCGAATCCTGCTCTGTGAATGGCAACTCAGGCTTCTGAAATTTTCTTGTGATATATTTCTTCACAAGTGCCTGCTGAAATTTCAGTGGCAAAGCAGTACCAAATTCAGCGACGGGTTGTAAATAAATGCAGTCGACAAGTTTCGAAAGAATGGTAGAAAGGGAATAATTATCACTGTTCCAACAAAATGAATCTTTTGAAAAATTCTGATTCAAGTCGGAAAACGGTAATTATTCTGAATGAACATATGATTTTGCATTCGAGAAGGGCATATGGTATTATAAACGCCGGCTCCTAGAAAATACTGATAATTCATAGTTAAAGAAATTTTCACAAGAGCAAATTGCTGTAGCTATCCGATAAACAATTCAGTAATTTCACAATTTAAGGCTGATTTTCTTTCTGAAAAAGACACGTATTCCCGATGAGCACTCGAATGTATTTTTCAATGGTTTTCTATAGAATTTGTCTGACT